TCTTTTTGCCAGAATGTCTTGGCTTTCCATGCCTGAAATACTCTCATAGCCCAAAGGTATTTTAAAGAGGGATGCAGATTCTCTCCTCAGCTCTGTTTCGGAGGCAGTGCCCTGAGTGCGAGTCCTCCCCACCCCTCTATACAAACGAATAGGAGCTCCACAGCGCTTCTTGCTCTGTCCACTCTACTCAGAACAGGCTCTGGCACATAATAGGTATTCAGTAAAGATTTATGGAATAAATGAATGGGATTAGGAAAGGCCTACAGTCCTGGAGTGGCAGCCTGGATCCAAGGGTGGGGACCCTCCTAGCTTTGTCACCAGTTATATGACTCCTGGGCTGCATGTCAGTTGTCTGTAGGGGGCAAAAAAAAAAAAAAAAAAGGGATGCATACTACTGAATTTTAAATCTTTTGTATCTTCTTCAAAATAAATTCCTTGGGCCAGTGAGTAAAGCCGCCACTGCAGTGCTGGCATCCTATAAGGGCGCCAATTCCAGTCCCGGCTGCTCTACTTCCGATCCAGCTCTCTGCTGTGGCCTGAGAAGGCAGCAGAGCTCCTTGGGCCTCTGCACCCATGTGGGAGACTCAGAGGAAGCTCCTCTTTCTGGCTTCAGATGGTCACAGCTCTGTCCATGGCGGCTATCTGGAGAGTGAACCAGCAGATGGAAGACCTCTCTCTCTCTCTCTCTCTTTCTCTGCCTCTGTCTCTCAGTCACTCTGTCTTTAAAATAAATAATAAAAAAATAAAAAACCCTTCATTTCTCAACTGTTCAGAATACTGCAGTATAATTTTCAAAAGTCATAAATATTGAGGCAATACCCTACCATGTTCATGACAATTTACCCTATTTTCCCCACACTACGATCATTGTCATGCATCCCTTAATTTGTGATATTAATAGTATATATGTGTATGTATATAATGTCTACATTTGAAGTGAATGTGGCAAGATGTTAAAATTATTAAATTTTAAAACTAAAAAATGTGGTTTTCATATCCATATCAAATGAATATAGGTGATGACATTTCAACTCATTAATTGATACAGGAAATTATATAATGTGAAGAGAAGTTCAAATGAAAATTTTAAGAACAGTTCTAAAAACATGAAATCCAGAATGCTTAAGTGAGTTTACTGATTTATAGATTCAAAATTGGCTAATTTCTTATACAGTAACATTTTATGTTTGGGGTCAAACTTCTATAAGGCAAAAATTGAATTGTGTCTTTACTGGATAAAAGTCATTTACATTGGTTTGGACAAGAATTCTGTGCATTAGTATTAGTTTCCTATAATCCCTACAGAATTATAAAGCATACTAGTTAATAGAAAGATAATTACAGGTGCACACCCGTAAAAAATTAGATAATTCCCGGAGGGTCTACTAGCCCATTCCCAGTCCTCCACTGAAAGAACACACAGTAATCTGTTTTACTCATTTCCAAGTCATGTACAGCTTTTCTTGGCAGAAAAGAGTAGATACACATTAAGTTGTGTGAAAATTATGGAAAAGGATTGAAAGTACGTGTTTGAGTTGATGTGCTGAAAGAAAAAATAACAAGGGCAGAATAGTGTGACATCCCACACAGTAATCCAATTCAGTGGAAGCTGGAACTCATCACTTAGGTAAATGTAAGAGACTGGGAAATATTGGGGGAAGAACACTGAACTGCTTATGAGATGTCTATCCAATCTCATCTGCATTTATTGGACTAGATGACTGCAAAGTTGACATCTTGGCCACAATTTCTGCAAAATGATATTCAATTGTGAGAATTATGAATTGTACTTCCGGGGGCAGACATTTGGCCTCACTGTTAAGACATCTGTGTGCCACATCACAGTAACTGGATTTGATTCCAGGCACTGGCTCTTGACTCCAGTTTCCTGCAATTGAAGATTCTGAGAGGCAGCAGTGATGACTCAAGTAATTGGGTTCTGTCCACCTGTGTGGGAGCTCTGGAATGAGTTTCCAGTTCCCAGAGTCGACCTGCTGCAGCTTTTGGAAGTATCTGGGGAGCAAACTGGCAGCTGGAAGATCTCTTTGTCTTTGTCACTCTGTCAGATAAATGTTTAAAGTGGGGAAATGGGAGAGTTCTCCTTCCTTCAACATCCATGGAGAAGTTTTAGAAATTAAAAAAAAACTTAGGAATTAAGGTGATGCTGGCTTCATAGAAAGAATTTGGGAGGATTCCCTCTTTTTCGATTGTTCTGAATAGTTTGAGAAGAATTGGAGTCAGTTCTTCTTTAAATGTCTGGTAGAATTCACCAGTGTATCCATCTGGTCCTGGGCTTTTCTTTGTTGGGAGGGCCTTTATTACTGTTTCAATTTCTGTCTCAGTTATGGGTCTGTTTAGGTTTTCGATGTCTTCCTGGTTCAATTTAGGTAGGTTGCATGTGTCCAGGAATCTATCCATTTCTGATAGGTTTCCCTGTTTGCTGGCATACAAGTCCTTGTAGTAATTTCTGATGATTCTTTATATTTCTGTGGTGTTTGTTGTTACGTTTCCTTTTTCATCTCTGATTTTACTGATTTGGGTCTTTTCTTTTTTTAGTTAGTTGGGCCAATGGGGTGTCAATTTTGTTTATTTTTTAAAAAAACCAGCTCCTCGTTTGGCTGATTTTTTGTAATGTTTTTTTGGATTCAATCTTGTTGATTTCTTCTCTGATTTTAATTATTTCTCTTCTCCTACTAGATTTGGGTCTGGTTTGCTGCAGATTTTCTAGATCCTTAAGATGCATGGAAAGCTCATCTATTTGGTGCCTTTCCAATTTCTTGATGTAGGCACCTATTGATAGAAACTTTCCTCTTAACACTGCTTTTGCTGCGTCCCATAAGTTTTGGTATGTTGTGCTGTTATCCTCATTTACTTCCAGAAGATTTTTGATTTCTCTTTTAATTTCTTCTATGCCCCATTGTTCATTCAGGAGCATGTTGTTCAATCTCCATGTGTTTGCGTATGCTCTAGGGATTCCTGAGTTGCTAATTTCCAACTTCATTCTTTTATGGTCTGAGAAGCTGCATGGTATGATTCTAACCTGATCAGCTCTTGTCCTGACTGTTGATGTACAATGTAATACTTTATCCATTTTAATATTTTCTCTTTGTTTTGTTCTAGTACTATTGGTTGAACTCTGTGATTAGCACACAATTATTCTTAGGTGTTTAAATTTTAACTGAAAAATGATCCCCGTTAAATATAAGAGTGGGAATAAGAGAGGGAGGAGATGTACAATTTGGGACATGCTTATTCGGACTTGCCCCAAATGGTGGAGTTAGAATCATGCCAGGGGATCCCAATACAATCCCATCAAGGTGGCGTGTACCAATGCCATCTCACTAGTCCCAGTGATCAATTTCAGTTCACAGTTAATCACACTGGTAGGTCTAAGAGTCAAAGGGATCACACAAACAAGTCTAGTGTCTGCTAATACTAGCTGATAGAATCAAAAAGGGAGAGAACAATCCATCATGGGAAGCAGGATACACAGTAGACTCATAGAATGGCAGATGTCCTAAATAGCATTCTGGCCTCAGAATCAGCCCTTAAGGCATGCGGATCCGGCTGAAAAGTCCATGAGAGTATTTTAGGCATAGAAAGCCAAGACACTCTGGCAAAAAAAAGGAAGACCTAAATGGAAGATCTCTGCAAGTGAGATCCCAGTGGAAAGAATGGGGCCATCAAAGAAGGAGGTACCTTTCTCTGAAGGGAGTAGAGAACTTCCACTTTGACTATGACCCTGTCGGAATAAGATCGAAGTCGGCGAACTCAAGAGGCTTCCATAACCTTGGCAACTCATGACTAGAGCCTAGGGAGATTACTGACGCCATAAACAAGAGTGTCAAATTGTTAAGTCAACAACAGGAGTCACTGCATACTTACTTCTCATATGGGATCTGTCCTTAGTGTGTTGTCCAATGTGAAGTAATGCTATAACTAGTACTGAAACAGTATTTTACACTTTGTGTTTCTGTGTGGGTGCAAACTGATGAAATCTTTACTTAATATATACTGAATTGATCTTCTGTATATAAAGAGAATTGAAAATGAATCTTGATGTGAATGGAATGGGAGAGGGAGTGGGAGATGGGAGTGGTGTGAGTGGGAGGGAAATTATGGGGGGGGGAAGCCATTGTAATCCATTAACTGTACTTTGAAAATTTATATTTTACTAAATAAAAAATTAAAAAAAAGAAATTAAAAAAAAAACCTCAGACATATTTAGTAATAGTAATATCTTCACACATCAAACATCACAGTGTTTTTACTGCTTTTCCAAAAGCTATTCTAGGGTTTCCCACATCCCTAAAGAACTTAGCTGCTCCTCGTTTGATAACTAATCCTGAGAAAGCCGTTGTCATGAAAATAAATGTGCTTTTGATGTGGGAAGGAAGGTAGTTAGAGAAAGGTGTTGAGGTTTGACAACTGTGGACAACCTAGCCCCCATGACAGCCCTATCTACTCTACCCAAAACCCCTTTCCATATACCACCCATATCCACCTTCTGTGTAGCTGAAGCTACAAGTTTCTCAGTGTTACATACTTGGAACCAGCACCAGCCGGAAATATCCAAGATGGCTACAGGGTGCGTCCACACAATGACTTTTAGGTCATTACATCATTGTAATAAAATTACAACGTGGGGCCCTCCTATTCTCATTTGCACCTGTCACCATGAAACTTCTGATCAAGCTCCACCACAAACTCCATCTCCTTTACCTATTCACCCCAGACTCCAACCTCTGTGCCTCCTGATTGAACTTTGTTTGGAGGGTCATTCTCAGTCTCTCTCTCTAGCTTACCGGAACTTAGTTCTTAAGTGTGCACTACCCCTTTGCCTTTAAATAAACCCTGCCTTCCATTGCATCTTTATTGTTCCATCTTTAATTCTTTCACACGTGGAGGGAAGAGCTTGAACTGAGGGCCCTGTTGCTCACAGAATCTTGGTCAGTGATAGTTTTCAAGTGCTCCTGCACATAGTGGATAAGGGATCTTACCTACTTCTTCCATCCTTTTCCCATCAGCGATTGTGGGTACCTGCTTGAGCTTTTGATTAGCTTGAGTGATCAGAAATTGAACTGGATCTGGTTCCAGTAAATCTTGGGCTTGCCATCCATTGGCCATTCTAGAATGCTTAGTGTTGATATGTTATTTGGAACTGTGTGGCAGAATTCCAGAGCTGGTTCCTAGAGACAGCATAGCAAATAGCAAATAGTTCCAATTCTGTAGCCATACCCCCTAAGTTTGAATCCTGACTTTACATCTTTCCAAACCCATGGCCCTAAGCAAGTCACCTATTTTTCCTGCCTTATATTCCCTAATTTTAGGGCAATAGTTGTACCTTTTTGATAAAGTTGAAGTGAGATTTAAATAAATTGACACATATTAGCATATGCCTAACACATTGTAACTATTATGTACACATTAGCTTTTAAACTAAATTGCTAGTTGTAGTTCAAAAGATCAAGTTTGAAGATGTACAGAAGTAATAGAGTTACAGATATATTCAAACACACAAGTATGTGACATTTGTGTATATGTTTTCTGACATATATTATAGGTAGATCTATACATACATGTTTGTCATATACATGGATTTTCCATATACCTGCACATAGTTGTATATATACTTTTGAGTTACAGAAGTCAGAGTTCAGCGCCGGATTCTAGTCCCGGTTGTTCCTCTTCCAGTCCAGCTCTCTGCTGTGACCCAGGAAGGCAGTGGAGGATGGCTCGAGTGTTTGGGCTCCTGCCCCCTCATGGGAGACCAGGAAGAAGCACCTGGTTCCCAGCTTCTGATCGGCGCAGCACCGGCCATAGCGGCCATTTGGAGAGTGAACCAGCAGAAGGAAGACCTTTCTCTCTGTCTCTCTTTCTCACTGTCTATAACTCTACCTGTCAAATAAAAAAAAAAATAGAAGTCAGAGTTCTACCAGAGAAACAGAGGTAGTAGAATAAACATAAGTATATGGGAATACACACACATAAACACACACACATATATACACCACACATATATACATATGTTATATATGTTTATATATATATATATATATGAGAGAGATTTATTTCAAAGAATTATTTTACAAGATAGTAGGGTCTGGTTGGCAAGTCCAAAATCTATAGGTCAGGCCAGCAAGCTGAAAATTCTTTTGTCACTTCTGTGCACAGGCAAAATTTCTTCTTTCTTGGGGAAATCTCAGTTTTGCTCTTAAGGTTCATAAAGTGATTAAATAAGGCCCTTCCAGTTATTAAGGATGATCTCCTTTATTTAAAGTCACCTTATATACATGTAAACCACATACACAAAATACTTTCACAGTGATACCTAGATCAGTGCTTGAATAACTCAATTTAATAGCCTAGCCAAGTTGACACATAAAACTACATATCACAAGATGTTTTCAATTTTGTATTTTATTTCTGAATATGTAGGCTTCTTTCTGAAGGATTTTGAGATTTTCCTCCTGGCACCACTACTATTACCTTGTTGGCATCATTTGTCTTTGATTCTGAGAGATATAACTAAGTAATTGTGGACAACATCCAGTTATCAGGATCCAAAAGTTATTTTTCCTTTATTTTTTCATGACTTGAGAAGTTCTTTAAGAAAAAGCATCTGGGGCCAGTGTTGCAGCACAGTGGGTAAAGCCTGTGATGCTGGCCTCCCATATGGGTGCTGGTTCGTGTCCCAGCTGCTCTAGTTCTGATGCTGCTCTACTTTTCCCTGCTAATGACCTGGGAAAAGCAGTGGAAGATTCCCCAAGTGCTTGGAACCTTGCCATCGACGTGGGAGAAACAGATGATGCTCCTGGCTCTTGGCTTTAGCCTAGCCCAATTCCAAGGGCAAGGAATGGGGGAGGGAACCAGTGGATGGAAGATCTCTCCCTCTGTCTTTCCTCTGTGTAACTCTGATTATCAAATAAATAAATAAATAAATTTTTTTCCTAAAAAAATGAAGGAAGAAGTCAATAGTTCTAGAAAAAAGGGTCTGCCACTTTCTGTGATCCAGTGGTGGACAACTTTCCCCTGAGCAACTAAACAGGGCCTTGGCGTTGTTGGAGAGGGGCCTTGCTTTTCTTTTATTAAGAACGCTAAAATTAGGGCCAGCATCGTGGTGTAACAGGTTAGGCCGCTGTCTGCAATGCCAGCCTTTCATGTGGGTGCTTGTTCGATTCCCAGCTGCTTCACTTCCAATCCAACTCCCTGCTAATGCACCTGGGAAAACCATGGAAGATGGCCCGGGTGTTTGGGCCCCTGCACTTAGGTGGGAGACAAGAAGAGGCTCCTGGCTCCTGGTCCAGCCCTGGCCATTGTGGCCATTTGGGGAGTGAACCAGCAGATGGAAAATTGCTCTTTCTCTACCTCTAGCTCTTCCTCTCTATCTTTATAACTGTGCCTGTCAAATAAATAAAATAAACCTTACAAAAAAGAATCCTAGAATTGTAGGATGTCAACTGAAGAGCCACTTTCCATCTTCAACTTAAAACAGTGGCACAGAATTATGGAATTATAGAGTATATCCACGTCTGAAACAGAAATACAACTAAGTTTTCTAATTCCCAGTTGCCTTAGTTGGACTTGTAATATATAACAAAGCAATTACATAAATTATTAGAATTTTTATAGATTTTTATATGTATATAGGATTTCAAAAGTTACATTTACTGTACTGCAGGATTAAACTTGTAGGAAGGAAAAGTAGAATGGCCAAGCCACAACTGCAGAGTTTCTTTTGGAACTGAGACCAGTTTCTCATTATCCCATTAATAAATACCTTAGTACAAGCAGATTCTAAACTTGTCTAGGACACAGGCAAATGTCATTAGTCAACATGGTCCTTTCTTGGTGGTATTTGTTGAACATTGAAAGTCTTTCCAATTTGGTACCTATTATAAGCTGATCATTCTGAAATAGAAATTGCATTGCAATTAAAAAAACCTCTGAATTCTGGAACAAATGTAGTCCCAAGAAGTTTTTATATTTTAGAGCAAAGTCTGTAAAATTTATTATACCTGAATTTTTTAACTTGAAAAATATTGGGCCATCTCTTCTCAGCCTTTTGGCTAAGATCAAGTGAAAAATAATGGGCCACCCTTACATAATATGCATTTCTGCCTAAAAATATGAACCACTTATAAAGGAAGGATATTTGTCCCTTCTAGGCAGTATGTTTGTCTCTAATGCACTAGAGTAGTTGGCATGTGTAATAATGGTGGCAGCAATTTCCATTACATTAATAATACTAATAATGTTAATTGATTGGATAAATTTTATTTGTTTAATGTAGCAATGGCTGTAGGCATTTTAACCACATTAGAGCATTTGATGCTTGCCACACCTTCGCAAGTAGATTTATTGTCTCTATTTCAAAGAAGAGAGCTAGCCTCAAAGAGGGATGGGAGTATAACCAGAAAGTGTCAGAGCCAAATTACAGAGGGAGATCTGTCACAATCCTCTCGAGCTATGGGGTCTGCACTCAATTAATGTTGAATTCTTGAATGGTCTTCCCTTAAATATTTATGAATTAAATGCCAATTGCTAAGTTTGCATTTAATTTTAAGGAGCTAATCACCATTCAAATTTTAAGGAACTACTGCCCTGTTCTAAAGTAGACATTTTGTTTCTTATAGAACAAGAGCAAATCTTCAGATATTACACTTGCTTGTAAGCTTAGGTTGTGTTCTGATGATGCTGGTACACCATACTGGTTCACACTTCCACACAGCACACTGATTGGCCATGGTACACCCACCAGGGAGGGGACTCCTTCCTACACAGTTATCTTCTTTGCAGATCACCACTTTGATCAATACATGTTCAACTGAAGTCTTTTTTTGGTAAGATTTTGGATTTAAAGGTGCTATGAATTTACATAATCCTTATCATGATTACAAAGCACAAAACAAAATCCTGTTGATCTTGCTCAATCCTGTGATCTTGCTCAGTAAGCTTTCGTTGATTTTTTTTTTTTTTTTCAGGCAGAGTGGACAGTGTGAGAGAGAGAGAGACAGAGAGAAAGGTCTTCCTTTGCCGTTGGTTCACCCTCCAATGGCCGCCACAGCTGGCGCGCTGTGGCCGGCACATCGCGCTGATCCAATGGCAGGAGCCAGGTGCTTCTCCTGGTCTCCCATGAGGTGCAGGGCCCAAGCACTTGGGCCATCCTCCACTGCACTCCCTGGCCACAGCAGAGAGCTGGCCTGGAAGAGGGGCAACCGGGACAGAATCCGGTGCCCCGACCAGGACTAGAACCCGGTGTGCCTGCGCCGCAAGGCGGAGGATTAGCCTACTGAGCTGCGGCGCCGGCCAAGCTTTGCAAAATATTCTGTAGAAGTTTTTATGACTGCAGGAGGGAGTGTCTGAGACAGCTCCTAAACTTGGTCGTTGCCTGCCAACCTTGAATGGAGTCTTGAAAGCAAACAAAGGAAGCAATCCTGTGTTACATTGGATAATCTAGAATTTTTATATTAATCATTATCCTAACTCATCACTGAGTAAAGTAGGGAGCAAAGAATGTCAATTCATAGCTTTTATACACCATTATTTATATGTCAGGAAATATTCCCAGTGGTGTACTTAAACTTTCTCACTTAATCCTCTCTTAAACCTTCTTTGAGGTAGGCATTATTCACTGCATCTTACAGATGAAGACACTGGATAAAGAAAATCACTTACCAGGAGTCACATAATTAGTGGAGAATCAAGGCAGCATTCAAAACAATATCTCACCCCAGGACTCACATATTTTAGTTTCATTTAATAATTTTTGTTTATTTAAGAGGCAGAGAGACAGAGAGCAATTGTCCATTTACTGATTCACTCCCCATATGCCGGCAACAATGAGGGTTGGGTCAGGCTGAAGCCTGGAGCCTGGAACACCATCCTGGTCAGCCACGTGGGTTACAGGGACTCAAGTGCTTAGACCAACACCTGTGGCCTCCCAGAGTGCACATAAGCAGGAAGAACCAGGCACTCCAGTATTGGATATGAACTTTCCAAAACTATATCTTAACTGCTGTGCCAAGTGCCTGTCCCCAAGGCCAACGTTCTCAATTTCTTTCCAAACTGCTTCAGAGGAGTCTTTGTTGCCTTAAAGACCAAGAAACTTAGACATCATACCGGATGTCAACATCTAAAACTTTACATACTGACACCTAGGTCTCTTCTCTCTGACCCCACTATAGTGGCACTACCATTCTTTCTTTTTTTTTTTTTTATTTTTAGATTTATTTACTTGAAAGGCAGAGTTACAGAGAAGAGGGAGAGACAGAGAAAGAGAGAGAGCAAGAGAGTGAGAGCGAGCTCTTCTATCCACAATGACTAGGGCTAGGCCAAGTCTAAGCCAGGAGCCAGGAGTTCCTTATGGGTTTCCCACATGGGTGTAGAGGCCTAAGCAGTTGGGCCATCTTCCATTGCTTTTCTCAGGCCAGTAGTAGGGAGCTGGATTGGAACTGGAGCAGCTGGGACTTCAATTGGTACCCATATGGGATGAGCACAGGGGGCAGCTTTACCTTCTAAGTCATGACACTGGCTACTCCTTCCTTTCTCATTTCTATTACCAGGACCACTGTTCACATGGTAGTTATTTGGTGCAGCAGCTAATATGCTGCTTTGGATGCCCGCATCTCATGTCAGAATGCCTGGGTTTGAGTCCTGCCCCACTCCTGATTCCAACTTCCTGCTAATGGGTATCCTGGAAGTTATTGGTGGTGACTCAAGTGGAAGTCCCAGATTGGGTTCAGTTTCCCCAGCCCCAGCTGTTGTGGATGGGATAAAAACAGTGGATCGGAGATTTCTCTCTCTTTCCTTTTCCGATAAATAAAATAAAATAAAATACTAATTCCTTAGTCTCTTTTTTATATGGAATTATGTCCAAAATCTCTCCTAAGGTTGTA